TTTTTTGTTTGAGCCACAGTTGTATCACTGTGCTCTGGAATGGTCAATGTTGTATTGAAACAAAATCCTGAAAAGCCATTTAGTCTCTAATAATTTTTTTTACTGCAGAATTCTGGTTTTGCAGACAAGTTCTGTTCTTTCTCATGTGGGTGTTATTATTCTTCAGAGCTCCCATAATTTAATATAGTGATGTGTGCGAGACCCTAAAAAGGAAGAAAATGGCATCCACAGTAAAATGAAACTTGCATGTAGGAAAGAAAAAAAACCCAACCAAAAACATAATTTGGTACACAAATAGAATCTTGTCATTTTCAGTCCCAGAGCCTGCACTTCAAGTTTTCTGTGGTTTATTTTTTAATGTTATTTTCATTCAGTGGTAATTAACATGTCTGCTGCTTCTGTGAAATAACGTAGCTTACAGACTCCACAGTTTACAATATTGCTCTCCCTCTTCAGAAGGATTCCCAAAATCAGATTGCTTCTCTTTTTGAAAAGAATAGTATTTTAGGAAAGGCAGTATGTCTTTGAGCTCAAACATAAACACTGTATATCACCTCCCTTTGCACTCCCCTGTTTTTAAATCCTTCACTCAGTCCCTCTGTTTGGTGACACTAGATTGTGGGGTGGTATTTGACTCATGTCTCTGACTGCCCTGCTTAGCAGTCCAGCCTAGAGCATCCCGATGCCCTTTTCAGTAAGAGAGGGATATAGTGATGCATGCCCTTATCTCAACAGATAATCGGATGTTGTAGGATGCATTGATTCCTCCGTTCAGACTTCAAGATGAAAAATTGTTTTCAATACTGTTCAGCAATAACTGTACCTTCAATACAACTGCAATATTAAAAAGCTAAATAAACTCCTTTTCATGTTTTCTTTTTGAGGAAGAATAATCAAGAGCTTAACAATCTGTCTGCTTTTGAAGGTAAAGGATATGCTGCCAAGGCAGTGAAATCATTTCTATGTGTGAGTGCAAATCTGAATACCTTTATTCAAATTGTGAGCAGGAGTGAGCTATACTGTGCCTTATTCAGTCATGTCTTCCCTTTCTAACTGGTGGCACGTAAAGGCATAACATCAGAAAAATAATATGAAATAACAAACAAAAAAGAAACAGTGAAACTTCATTTATAATTTGTTTAGATGAGTCTGGGGTTTCATGCCCTTGTTATAAAGGTGTTTGAGCAGACAGCAGAGATATGAATGCTTTAGTAGGAAGGAAGATCTGAACTGTGACTGGGATAAAAGCTGTGTTTTACTTATGCATTTTCTTGCATTTTTAAGAGAAGACATTAAATAGTTCTCTTGGCTGAGGAAAAGGTGACTGGCTGCCAATCACTTTAAGATATTCCATGTACATTTTCATATTGTTATGAGGACTCCCTGAGCAAGATAAAATATATCCTGAACAGTTCTAGGAACTGTAATTGTATTCAGTGGCAGGGGATTGTCAGCAAATTCAGGGGGAGGAATGGAAGAAAGTTTGAAAGAGAAAGATGAAGAATTAGAACATGATTAGCATGCCACACTTGAAGAGTTTAGTGTCTCCTAATAGTAATATCTGAGAAAATTCTTCATTGTTACCATAGCAAGGATTAACATAGCTCTGTTGCTCTACATGGTAAGTAATGTGCCAGGAATTGAGTTGAAATGCCATTACATTTTTGGATTAAAAGAGAATCAATACTATTCAACACAAATATATCAAAAATGACAGAGCTCTGTGGAATAAATGAACAAAGAATCCTTGTTTAAACTTAAGATGGGCAGCCACTTCTAGGAATAATGAGATGTGATAATGCTGCATTGATAGCATTTGAGAGCATGTGAGAGATGTTTCTCAAATGAGAAAAAGTCATTGCTGAATTAAAGAAGAAATTATGAAGAACATTAGTGTGTATATGCAGGATGATCATCAGAATACAAAATGTGCTTGTGTCATCCTTACGTCTCTTGTTCTTAAATATCCAACTTTTTCTTTAATTGATGCTGATATCTGAGAGTCTGACATAATCTCTATGTCAAATATTTAGTTTCTTTATGTAGGAGAAACTAAGGCAAGATAAAATGCAGGGTTTTTTATTTACTCTGGTGACTGTTTTACAAATCCTTGAAAGAGTTGCCTTGTAATGTGGGATGAGGAAATGTTTGAAATCTAGGAAGTTAATGAGACAGTAGCACTATTTCTACACACTGTTATTTCTGAATATCTAACACGTTCCTGTTTTTTCACTTACCTCTATGGCTTGCTTGTCTCTATAAACAGAATATTTTAATTTCAATGCCTAACTTGATAATAAAGATAGTCAGTAATAAGAAATATGAGTAGTTTAAAATATAAATCATTACAAATGGAAAAAGCTAAGTCTTATTATAGCCTCCAGTGCTTCATTTGGGGGTGGGGGGAAACAGTTAAAAGTGTTATCAAGTACTGTAAGGATGTGTTGATGAAGGAAAAAAATATTCCTCATAGTTTAGGTTAACTATTTCAATTATGCTTTAACTGCAATATCCAACACGCTCTCTAAATAATGTGAATGAAGTATGCCTTGGGCATAAGGTCACTCACAAACCTATATAAAATTCATTCCTGTTGCTGATGAGGTGCTGTGGTTTTATTATCTTTGTAGTACTGTAGTTGAGTAGTGTGTTTTTTTGTTTTTTTTTTTATTTTTTTTTAAGGGAAACCTCATAAACCTGTTGTAAGAACTTCTTGGCACTTAATTAGGTTTGGCTGCTCTGATGAGGCTGCAGCAGTAATCCTATCTGCATATCCTTTTACACAAGAAATATTTACTTATTAGCCATTGCCATCTACTTTGGCCTTCTGAGAATACACAGCCAGCTAGTGATTCTAGCAGCTATTTCAAATATCTGATTACCTAATGTACATTTAATTCAAACCTAAATGTGGCCGTGGGTAAGCATCTTAGACTTTTTGAGAAAATACTTCAAGTAATTGAGTGGTCTCTTCAGTTGTAGATGTCTGTCACTGCTACTTCAGAAGTGTATTGTTGATTTATCATTCTAGATGTAATTTGTGTTTGTCTATAACTGTACCTTGCCCAGTGGTAGATGATAGAAATGGCACAGGTTTTGCCATCAATACTAAACACTCTGCCTTGTGTTAAGTACTGTGGTCAAACAGCACAGAACTATTCCCAAAGAATTAAAATCATAACAGTACACACTGTGTAGTCAGAATTGATTAAATACAGAAAGTGATAGTAATAGGTACTCGCTACCAATCAGTCAATATTTTTAGTATCGTTAATTGTTCATGTATTTATTGCTTGTTATTTTTACTTGCTGTATAGTGACTTTAGAATTTCAGAAATGCTTTTTCTAGGTCAATGGATTTTTGCTTTTAATAATAAAAACATTGTTAAATCTATGATATGGTACTCCCTGATTGCCATGATCAGAAAATTAAATCTGTACACTTAAGCATGTAGTATATTTCTTGCCTATTCTTCATACCTTAAAACGGCTTACTTGGCAAAGTAGTACAATATTAGGAAGGGGAAAAATTGAATTCTTAACATAAATTGTGGCAATTCTGTATTTTGGTGAATTCTGAGCACGCTGACATACCAGATGTGTATCTGTCTTAAATATAAATTAATTTAGAAGAGCTAATTGACATGGTCACATCATTCCTGATTGGTATTGCCAAATAGTCTGAAGTCAGTTTAAGTCTGCTCACCAAGCATTTGCTATCTGTTGCCAGAGTATGCCTGATTATTTGTAGGAATGTATTAAATCAAACACAATCTCTGAATGACTCAAATTTAGGGAAATTTTAATTATAGAATTGCTCAGATTGGAAAAGACCTTAAAGATCATTGAGTCCAACCACAACCTCACCATACTACCCTAACTTGAACAACCCTGCACTAAATCATGTCCCTGAGCACCACATCCTAATGATTTTTAAACACATCCAGGGATGGTGACTCAATCACCTCCCTGGGGAGCCTAACAAATCCTTTTTGTTAATAAAAGCTCCTCAAAAGCCTTTATAATTTGTATTTCAAAAAAGGAACTTAATCATTTTTCCAGTTTGTTCAGTGTTTTTTGTCATGCAGGTAAGCTGCAAATAGAGTGTAAATGCTTAAGTGTGTACCTGCAAGTTGTAATCAGTACTGTAACCATTTTTATGCTTGCGTATTTCACCATGTTTGCTAGCAAATATGAAGAGCATGCAAGGATGTTTCTGGGACTTGATCCTACATGTTTGTAACTTTCTGCACTGAAAGGAAGCAAACCTATCTTGGAATAGAATGTGTGGTGTGCATCAAGCGTAGTGTTTTAGGAGAGCTAGCATTCAACCATCTTGATTTAAGTAGTATCAGCTATTAGAGAAATTTGTGATACTGAGCTAATCATTAATTGCAGTTTGAGTTGATTTACTGATATGGGGCAGAAAAAGTGTCCTTTTTTTTGCACAGGTGTCTTGCAATTCTAGATGTGTTGCAAAGAAGAAATGACTTTCACTTTTTAGGAAACTAGTGATACATACTGTAATAGACAAAAGTATTATCTACAATATAGATTCTAATTTAGAGCTCCAGTAATTCAGTAGATAAGGTCTTGATACAACCACCTGGAACTAGCAACTTCTGAGCAGCAGTAAGCAGCAAAGGAGAGAGCCGTAATGCAAACTTAATTTCTTATGAATTTCTTTGCATTAGAGGGTTTATTCATTGAACCTGTCTGGGTTATGAGACAGAGAGTCACGCAAGATCCTTCTGAAATTCGGGGGTCTGAGCAGTTTGCCAACCAAAATAATGAACTAAAAAGAATTTTCCATCAAACATGGACTGTAGGTTATTTTAATAGATAAAATTAATGGTTAATTAAAAATATTAAATAATATTTAAAAAATGTTTCTTTCTGACTATTGAGGATATCTTCAGAAAATGGAAATATAAAATCTGAATGGCTCTTTTTAAATTCTATTGGCAGTATGTTAACCTGAAATCCTCTTTGTTTTTCAGCTCCATTTGTTTTCAAGCAAATGCTTTTCTTATGAAAAAGAAAACTCCTGTTGTCAACTACCACAGTGGCGAAGAGCCTTTGTGCAGCTGCTTTGACTATACACACAGTGAAAAGGTAATCATGCTTTCTCTCATAATATTCCTCAAATATTTGTGAAACTGGGAATAAGAATTTTGCATAGCTTTATTTTGGAGACAACGTTCAAGAGATGCCATTCATTCTTAGGTCTTTCAAATGTGTTTGAAAACCCAGATTGACTTGTAAAGTATTTAGAAAACATCAAACAGTAAAACAACTGATGTTGAACGGAATATGAACCAAACAACTCCTTTGGTGTTGATAATCTAGGGCACATAGGAGCACTTAATTAAGGTTGTGTGAAGAGAAGATGAGCAAGTTGGATTAAATCAGATGAACTTACTAAGATTTGGTGATGCAAAAAAACACTGAGATCCTTTTTTAAGCGTACTGCTGCAAGTGTGTTTAATACAAAATTAATCAGCACATAAATTTAGGTACGCTAGTGTTTTGTTCTTCAGTTTCCAAATCCTTTGTTAATATTTGTATCCTTCATCCATGGGACTTCTATTGATCAGTACGGATGTGATGACTATTTAAGTTTTGAAATCTGTAAGGAATTGGCGGGAGATGTTTTACACTGGCAAAAAAAATGGTCATTGGGATTGAAGACTTTGTCAAAACTTGTCACTTGAAAAATCAATAGGAAAAGATTAGTTTTCGAGAGTAAAAATGTGGAGTTTTTTTATCCTCCTAGGCAATTTTTTACTTCAAAAGAAAGGCTGAGTGTACCGTCATTCACAGGGAAATCTATCTTTTTTTCCCTATTGAAGCATCCTGTAGTGGACAAGAATTTTATTAGTTTGAAGAAGACCTTGGATTTATAGGTGTGCCATTGAATGATTTTAATACTTCCTGACTTCAAACACCTTCAGCAGGTTGGTTGGTGCAGAAGCCCTAGGTAGGTCTTCAGAGAATTAGGTATGGAGTAGATGGGGTCAGACAAGATCTCTGGGGAGCAGGAAGGAGTTGGAGGAGAGTTGTCTGTCCGCAGCCAGAACAGACCTTGTCCTGAGGTGTTTGTAGAGGCTGTGGGTAAACTGTGCTGGCTGGGGCACCAGAAGAGCCTGGAGAAGGGAATACTTCAGTGCAGAAATCAAGTGTAGCCCTAACAGGTGGAACAAAGGGCTTACTAAAAATGTTGGCAGTCTGTAAAATGTTTTCTGCTTTTGTGCATCACGGAGTTGCTAGGCCCATTCTAGGCTGTATTTTCTGTTGACAATTCTATTTACAAATGTTTGCATGTCTTAGTTATTTTCCTACCTTCAAGATAATTTTGAAAGGAAATGTATGAGATAACAGGATATGGCTGGGAACTGAAGATACGGGGAGCGCCTGTGTGCTCCGTCCTCCCTTGTGAAAAAGTACATCCATTATGAAGGATAGGTGACAGTTATATTTGCTGTTACAGATAGCTAGGTAGATGCTAAGAATAAAGGATGATAAACAGTTTCAAGATGGTATGAAATTACTTCATGCTCTCCCAAGCTGACAAATACTGAAGAGAAATAGACAGCATCCTCTTCAGCTGCTTGAGTCATGCACGTCTGAGGGACAGAGCTAGAGTAGCCCCAGTGGGCAGTGTTTCCAGGACCATATATTTCCTGGCAAGGATACCACTGGCTCAGATATGTGAATGGTGATATATCTTAGTTAGACTGTTTGTGATTTGAATGAAAAAACTGGATTTCTTAAGTGGATTATATGTTTCCTTGAAGAACGATGTGGTCAGTTAGTTCACAAGTAACTTGAGCCTAGAGCTACTTCTCAATACAGTGAATATATTTCAATTATAACAAGCAATACAGTTTTGTCTGAGGTTAACCCTAAGCACTGGATTTTGGGAAACTTCAACATCTTTAGACTCCTGCAAGCGCACACGTGTGTATTCACCATCTGACTGTACGACTATTCTGTGGCAAAGGAAGTTCACTCAACTCAGCAGAGTAGTTTCCTATTTTGATTTCACAGTACTTGAACTGTACAGGCCAAAATTTAAATAAATGAATTCGAGCCAGCTGGGTAGTCAGGTGTAGAATCCACTAAATGAGAATAAAGCGGCTTGATTTGAAGTAAGAGGAGCAAAAGGCAAAATAAAAATAAAGAAGAAAGTTTGAAGGCACAGTAGAACAGTTTCTAGTTACTCCTGTGTTTTCTTGACTCTTTTTCCTTTAGGATAGCTGAAGCAATTGAGTTTCATCGTTCCCTGAATATCTCATGAATATTTCAGTTCCAAATGGTTGAATGTTGTTTTTATTAGTCCATTTAGATTGCAGCACAAATATATTTCCCTGTGTGTGGCTGAGATTTGGAATTAGGGAATATTTGTGGCATGAGGCAATAAACAAAAAGAAATGCATAATGTACAGTTGAATACAGTTGTAACAACTGAGTGCTTTTTAAAGTTCACACACACAGAGCTTCACAGATTTGGGACCTGACCTACCATATCTTATTTTATATATTAATATTCATTTCTTGCCAATAGTACTTTGTACCTCACCCTAGAAAGTCACCAGACTGTGAGAAAGACAATTCTTATACTTCATTTCTTTTTATTTTTTCAGCGTAGTTTTCTTGTGTTCTTTCTTCAGCTGTCTCAGTGTGAAAGTGGACATCCTTGAAGAGGGCCACTGGCAAAAATAATTTGTAGAGAGTACTCAGACATGTGTTTCCTTACTTTTATTTTTATATAAAAACAATTAATAACCTAAAAAGTTGGGCTGGTTCTGAGTGGTTGAACAGGTACACAGGTTAAATCCCTGTCCAAAAGAGGCTAGAATGTAGACAGTTTACATAGCAGTTTTAAAAAAGAAGAGATCTGTTACCTATTTGCTACAGAGCGATCAGTTTGTCTGTGCACAGTGGTATTTTCTTGTTGTTATTACTATTTATCCTTCCTTTATTGTTGAGTTTGTGAACTTCAGTTCTCTTATAACTAACCATTCTTCCTTTTGGCTATATTTTGTTGAAGTGCATGTAAGTGCATAGGCAAGCATCAGAGTATGTTTTCCAACGAAAACTTCTTTTAAAAAATTTTGCATTGATAATAAGAGACAGGGTACAAGGAATAAAATCCCTTGCATGAGACAGCTTGCAAGAATTTAGCCCAGAACAGATTACTTTAGGTACTGGCATTCGGTTCTAAATAATCATTTAATTTAGAAATGAGTAGAAATGAGTAGATTCCTGATGAGTAAAATTACAAATGTAGGTGACAGGTAATGATATGATACAGGGGCCAGAAATTGATAGATTCTGTTCCAACATCTGTGTTGATTCTTGGATTTCTTCAGAGTCAATAGGACATGATGAAGAGGTCTGCTCTGAAAGTAATGCCTTCTATTTTATTACATAGGCCCACAGTGTCAGAGGTGGATGTTGTTGGTATGGCAGTGGAAGTTGAACCTTCTCACCAACATTATTTCACATCAGGCTTCTGTGTGACAGATGGCAGCAGAGAGTCATAAAATAGCATTTGACAAGGAAGTGCCCATGAAGCAATGGTGTGTCACTGAATTCCTCCACATGGAAAAAATGGCATCCATTGTCATTCACTGACACTTACTGAACATTTCTGGAGACCAAAGAGTAGATGTGAGCACAGTGAAGCAGTGGGTGGTGTGTTTCAGCAGTGGCAACGGCAGTGTGCAAGACATTTATGTTCCAGACATGCAGATTTTCATGAGCTCAGTATGCAGGTTCTTGTTTCTCACTAGCAAAAATGTATAAGATAATGGTGGTGACTGTGCTGAAAAACAGTGTTCTGCAGCTGAGAATTGTCTCTGTCGAATAGTTGTTACTGTGTTCTTTGTGTCTGTTGTAGTGTCTTTGGAAATAAATTGGAGGCATTACTTTCAGTGACCCTTGTACACTGTTGATGGGCTGCCTAGTTTTGCCTGTTTACTCTTTGGGGTTTATATCTGATTCCAGGAAATTAGAACATCTTTGTCTGGGACTAAAATAAGACATTTTGTGAGTCCCTCATTAGATTTATTGTTGGAATTCTCCTTTGGTGAACGTCTCCACCCATCTTTGTAATCTTTCTTTTGATATAATGCACCTGGTCCTAGGGGCACATCATATTTACCCAACAAGTAAAATGGGTTGGAAAAATGGGAACTACAATTCAAACCATCTCTGTCAAATAAACCAACATGCAGGTTTGAATATGTACATTTATCAAATAACTCTTTAGGAAGGGGGCCGTAGGCCATAACTGTTGAAAAAAACATCAGTGGAATATTGTTGCTGGCAATCAAATCAGACGTCTCTGAAGGGTGTCCAGCCATGTGCTTTGGAAAGATCGCTATTCTTTCCTCATTTCCTTTTCTGGCACAAGTGGCAGTCTGCTGATTTTCAGATAATTAAGGATTACATGATGAAGGCAACAGGCATATTATTTGATAAAAGGGCTGAGATGAAGGTGCCAGCTAAGTCTGGAAGATTCTGTAATTTGATGTGACTGCTGTCAGGAACACAGACTTGCTGAAATTAGATCTACTGGCTTCACCAGAGTAGCTGGCGAAGTGAAAAATGTACATGCAGAGCTTAGATGGGTTTCCTGAAGTCAGTGATTGTAAATTTTCATACATAACTCTGGGGCTAAGAAATACAGTATTAACCTTCTGTGTACCAAGGCTGATGATTTGCATTTGATGAAATTCTAAAGAGCTACTGGCTTTAGCTATTTCAGATCCTGACTACAAAAGCAACAACAAAACCTTGCACCTTTCAGAAAAGCTTAGTTCTTTGCATTCTTTATTGATCTTTCATCACTGTGAGCAGAGAACACCTAACTGATAGCTAAGCAGAGATCAAAAGAATATGACTGCACAGGTTATTTGCAATCACTTGAAAAGTTTTATGCACCTAATTATTTTCAGAGGAGAAGTAGAGAGGATAGATGATGATATATGTTATCCAATAATTGTTTGTGAGAAAGAACTTGTGTCCAGTGCCTGCCCCATTCTCACTTTCTCTTATATACATTCAAAACCAGCGGAGTGACAGCCTTCAGGCCTGTCTGGCCCACA